ATAGTAGATGCCCACATATACTCACTCTTATGAACACATGTAGGAACACCGTACTCCTATCAGTATCTCTGATATGCAGAGCCAACATTATGTCTTCAGATTCATGAAGTCAGCACATACGGCACATAGTCGATGGGGACGTCTTCTCCCACCAGAAGAACAACGTCGGAAAGCCTGAAATCAATCACCGGTACTAAGTATAGGACTATCCCTATTGTGTTGGATTCACCACAAAGAACCTAACCATCTAAGCCACGCCCAGCTGCAGTTCGTGAAAATTGTAGGTTTGAGGCAATAGTTTCCCTGATGGAATTATCTGATTATGTGTAAGATGTGTTTTTTATTGTATTTCTTATTGAAAAATGTAGTAGTGTATTAAATTGAGGCAAACATTTCTTTTTTTGAGGGAACGACAAACTTTTCTTTCACTATCGAAGCAAATTTCTTTTTAATCCATGCAGACACGAAAACAATCATTACAATATGTGCATGAAAGGAAATACCGCTCACAAGAAAGTAAATTTAAATTAAAAAAAATCGAGACCATTGTTTGTAAATGACCATATGCGATTGCACTTAATCTGTTATTATCTTCCCTAACCCTAGGCGGCTAGGGCAAACTCTTCTCTCCAAACTACACTGTCGAGACCATGGATTCGCCTTCCCTCTGCTTGCCGCTCCGGCGGCCGGTGGTGGGGAAGGGAATTTCGACACCTCTGCTCCAGCTAGGAGTTTAGGTTAGGGATTTTCAGTCCTTGCAACTGCGGTGCTCGAGCAGATGGTGGTGCTACTTCTTCGAGTTTGTCATGCGGGCTTTGATCCTCCTCGAGTACGTGTATTTGGACGTAGTCGATGGAGCTCCGGTGTAGATTCCTGCTGTCTCTTTGGGGCGGTGAGGTTAGGGTTTCTCGCCTTGTGGCGAATTTTGGTGTCAGGTGCTTCAGATCTATGTAAGCGTTCAATACGACGACTGCGGATTGAGGGCGCTCGTCGTTAGGGACACGTGCATGAAGACTTCCTGACTATCATCGACATGGTCAAGGCAGCTTCGGTATGGCAGAGGCAACATCGGCGAGTTGGCGGCTCGTTTTGACGGTAGTATTGGCTGTTTGGGGGTCTTGCAATCTCAATGTAGTTTTATTATGTTTGAGATATTTTATAGTTCCGCTAAATTTTTATAATAGATATGGATCATTTTCGCAAAAAGAAAAATATGCGATTGCATTTATATGTAAAAAAAGCAAATCAGAATAACGTTGGAAGCAATATTTACATATCTCTACTTCTAATGTCTCAGTTGGTAGTCTTCGTTCCGGGTTTATTTTCGTCCCACCTTCCCTGGTTTTTTTTCGTCCTCTCTCCCACCTCCCAATTCTGTTGGTTTTTTTCGCCGGTTTTTTCTCGTCCCCCTCCCACCTCCCAATTGCGTCCGGTTTTTCTTCGTCCCACCTCCCACCAGATCTTCAAAGGCAGAATCAGTAGCGTCACTCCAGACAAAGTCATATGTCTTTTTCATCATCTGATACAACGGCATGGCCTTCTCACCTAACCGGCTTATGAACCGGCTTAAAGCTGCAACCGGACCCGCCAGTCTTTGAACGTCATTGATACACGCCGGCTTAGCCAAAGATGTTATTGCCTTAATTTTCTCCGGGTTAGCCTCAATGCCTCTGTGAGACACCAAAAAACCCAAAAGCTTGCCAGCGGGGACTCCAAACACACATTTTGCCGGGTTAAGCATCATTTTGTAGACCAGGAGGTTATCAAAAGTCTCCTTCAGATCATCTACCAGAGTTTCCTTTGCTATGAATTTAACCACTATATCATTCACATAAGTATGAACATTATGCCCAATCTGGTCATGAAGACAGTTCTGCACACATCGCTGATAAGTCGCCTGGGCGCTGTTAAGCCCAAAAGGCATAGACACATAGCAAGGCTCCAAACGGAGTGATGAAAGCTGTCTTCTCTTGATCTGATGATAACCAGAATAAGCATCCAAAAAACTCAAACGCTCACATCCCGCCATAGCATCAATGATTTGATCAATACGAGGGAGAGCAAAAGGATCGCGACAAGCCTTGTTTAAATCTGTGTAATCCACACACATACGTCAGGTGCAGTTCTTTTTGAGTACAAGCACCGGGTTACCCAACCACTTTGGGTGAAAAACTTCAACAATAAAGCCGTCCGCCAAGAGCCGGGCTACCTCTTCTCCAATAGCCTTACGCCTTTCCTCATTAAACTGCCAAAGAAACTGCCTGACCGGCTTAAACTTTGGATCAATGTTGAGAGTGTGCTCAGCGAGTTCCCTTGGTACACCCGGCTTGTCAGAAGGCTTCCATGCAAAGATGTCCTGGTTCTCACGGATGAACTCGATGAGCGCACTTTCCTATTTTGGATCCAAATTGGCACTGATAATGAACTATTTGGATGAGTCACCAGGCAAAAAATCAATCATCTTAGTATCATCAGCTGACTTAAGTTTCAGCGCCGGCTCATGCTCCGTAGTTGGCTTTTTCAAAGATGTCATATCTGTCGGGTCAACGTTATCCTTATAAAAATTCAATTTCTCCGTTGCGCAAACAGATTCGGCATAAGCCGCATCACCTTCTTCATATTCCAGGGCTATTTTCCGGCTTCCATGTACTATGATGGTGGCTTTATAACCTGGCATTTTGAGCTGTAGATAAACATAACACGGCCGAGCCATGAACTTAGCATAAGCCAGCCGACCAAATAGAGCGTGATATGGGCTTTTGATCTTAACCACTTCAAAAGTTAACTTCTCAGCCCTAGAATCATACTCATCCCCAAAGACTACGTCTAGCTCAATCTTACCAACCGGGTACGCCGACTTACGAGGCACCACCCCATGAAAAACAGTGTTAGATGTTTTAAGACTCTTATCATTCAACCCCATGCGACAGAACGTCTCATAATAGAGGATGTTGATGCTACTGCCTCCGTCCATGAGCACCTTAGTGAACTTATATCCACCAACCTGAGGCGCCACCACCAAAGCCAGATGACCCGGATTATCGACCCGGGGAGGGTGATCTTCCCTACTCCATACAATATGCTGCTCAGACCATCTCAAATAACGTGGAATCGCCGGCTCAACAGTATTTACAGCCCTCTTATGAAGTTTCTGGTCCCTCTTGCACAAACTGGTGGTGAATACATGATACTGCCCACCGTTCAGCTGCTTTGGGTTACTCTGATACCCGGACTGCTGCTGCTGCTGCTGACTGCCTTGGTCGGATTGCTGATTATAGCCGCCTTGACCACCTTGATGGCCCTGGCCATGAAAATCGCCACCGCTTGAGCTGGCGCCCGGGCCATGAAAGCTGCCACCGCCTGAGCCGCCGCCAGGTCCGTGGTTACCATCGAACATGTTAGAATTCTTAAAAGCCTTCATGATCGTACAGTCCTTCCGTAGATGAGTGGCCGGCCTCTCCCTGGTGCCGTGTCTGGGACAAGGTTCATTTAGCAATTGTTCGAGGGTGGGGCCTGACCCGCCTGACTGAGGAGGTGGCCTCCTCTTGCGCCGTTGATTGTTGCCCTGTGCTTGGTGTTAGCCACAAACTCCAGACTACCGTCAGCTTTACGTTTATTACCTACTTGATTCGCCAGGTTATGCTGGTGACCTTTGGCGTTGCCGTTCTTCTTTCCCTTCACTGTCTTCTCTTCGTCAGACGCGGGATCTTTGGTACTTTCTGAGTCGGGATATTTGACTAGAGCCGCCATGAACTGGCCCATGTCATTACAATCACGTTTGAGCCGCCCCAACCTAATTGTGCTCGTCACGGATGGTAACAAGACGTCAGCTTGGTCCAAGCAAACAGCCAAGTGGCAGCAACGACCAGAGGCAGTGATCGACAAGGATGCAATCTCGCTGTTCCTGGACAAGGATGGCGGAAACAGGCCAGTGACGAGGCGAGGCAGGCTCATTCTAGGGTGTTTCGCTGAGAGGTCCTCATCAGTTCAGGCTGCAGTTTCTTCTGGCTCGACTTACGGTCCATGGAGATATGAGATTGTTCTCGGATTCTCGGCTACAGTACATAGACAAGAATATCCCCTATGCGATGAACTTGGCGGCTTGGGTTCCAACATTCAGGAGCACTTTGTGATTCAATCGTTTCTGGCTCCAGTCTCAAGTTCAAGCAGATGTGCGTCCATTGTTGAAGAACTTTTTTTTTAGAACAATTTAATTTTAGTAGTTTTATTTTCCGGTTCATCGGCGAGCTGTTGGTCCCGGTGTAGTAGTAGGTCTATGACCATGCTAGTTCTATTCCGCTCAAAACCCTGTGCCCTGTGGTCCGGCTCAGTGGCACATTCATGAGATATTTTCCCAACTCCTGGCGCGGTCGGTGGAGGGAGGGCGCCAGATCGTGCTCGTCACAAATGGAGCCAAGATATTGGCTTGAGCGCAGTCGAAGCAAAAGGCCAACAGACCAAGTGCCAGCAACGACCACACATGGTCATCAGAGGCATTCTTTAGGTTCCTCGACAAGGTAGGAGGGAAAAGGCCGCCCGTTAGCCCATGGCCAGTTCAGCTGGAAGCCTGGAACTACAATAGCTACCGTGGTTCGCTGAGTGGAGTAGCACCGTGCTCATCAACATGTCATACTTCGGTTTCTTCTGGCTCGACCTCCAGTCCATGGAGATCGTGAGGTGGTTCTCGGATCGTGGGTCCAGGCCACGGCAAGAGAATATCCGCTATGAGATGATTGGCAGTTTGGGTTCTAACATTCAATAGCACTTTATGATTCAACTTCATGCAGGTATGCGCATATGTGGATTATTCCACAACCATGGAAGCATGTGCGTACGACTTTGTTGAGAAAAATATAATTCCGTTTTAGTAGTTTTATTTTTTGCCTTGTTGCCACGTTTATGTCCCAGTGTAATCGTACATCTATGGTTTTGCTAGTTTTCTTTACTATTATAGACAGGGGGTTTGTGCTGTTTTTTTAATCTAAATTAGACTTTATTTCTCAAATAATGCTCATATCGTTTACAAGGAGATGAGAAATAAAGTCCGGGATTATATCATCCCAAGAACCAGGAACTCTTATACTAAAGCAATGTTTTCCTAACTCATCTGCTACCCGGTTCGCTTCTCTGTAGCAATGTTTAAAGGAAAGTTTGTTAAAGTCGATGGACAATTGCTTGCACTCCGCTACCACAGCACCGTCAGGCCTCATATAATCATCCATGCTCTGAAGTGTCTCCACCGCAAACAAGCAGTCTGATTCTACCTCTATTTTAGTGCATCCAATACTTGACAGAAGATAAATACCATTCCGTATTGCCATGAGCTCAGCCGAATCAACATCCCAAACATGCGGTATAAACCAAGAAGCCGCAGCAATAAAATCTACCTTGTCATCTCGAACAACAGCTCCACTTGCTCCCGAGAGTGTGTCTGCATGAAAAGCTGCATCAACGTTAACTTTCACCATGCCATAGGAAGGTTTCTTCCACATATGATCCCTCGGCCTCATTGGCAAATTTGGAGTGATCGATCTTGTGTAGTTGTTAGATGGGGGGTTTGTGCTGTTAACCGGCTCTGGAAGGAGATATATCAGCTCCTGAGTGTTCTTTAAGCATTTAGTTGTGGGAGAATTTAATCAAAATTTCCGTACTATACCTCAGTATGGGATTTGTTTTGTAGGCACCTTATTTTGTGTCATCGGGTATTTGCAGCGCTTGGGTTATTATAATCTAGCAAACGACTTGGCACAAAACCTACAGCTCGAAGAGAATCTGATGGATCAAATCCGGACCATGTGCAAGAGCTCTCCACAGTGATGATTTAGCAGCAGAGCAGATTTGGATTCCAAGCGCCGTCCACTGCCACAGCAGCATGCCAGCTTCAACCAAAAAAAAAATGTAAATCTGAAAAAAAATCAATGCAAAAGAATGGAAACAGTGAAAACCAAAAAAAATAAACAATGAAAAACAAGTAAACACGAGAAAGAAAGAAATAATACCGATGAAGAAGAAGATAAAAGAAAGAAAAGAAAAAAAATCTAGTGAAAACCAAGAAAGAAACATAGAGAACCGAAGAAATTAAAGGAAAAAGAAAGAAAAAATAAACCTAGTGAAAAAAGAGAAAAAAAGATAAAACTATTAAAAACATGAAAATATCGGGAAAACCACCGAAAAAACTGTCTATTTTCACTCAAGTTGATCGCGCCATGTATTTCACCATGAACCCAACAGTCCCTCAAAGGCTACCAGCGCTACCCAACAATGAGGATCTGGGTTCAGTTTCCTGCTCCCTTTTTCTCGATTTCCCTTGTTTTAAGTGTGCACAAATGGGCGGCCCATTAAAGCAGACGTTCTAGGTGAAAGCTTTTTCCATCTCAGCTCTCGTGGAAAATTGCCTCGAAATAAAGAAAAGGTCTGGCGGAAAAAAAGTAAGGTGAGATGAGTCGGACGCAATAAAGACCCATCCCATTCCGGCCCATATAAAGCACGACACATCCAAAAGGAAACACATGTGCACTGCTTGCTTTCCTCTAAAAAGAAAGACACTCTATTACTCACATTGCACTCCAAGAGATGAAGTTATGCTCTTGGAAAGGCGGATTCAGTCCAAGAAATCGTAGTCGACGAAAACGTGTTCTTTCAGTGACACGCATCACCTAAAGTCCTATGATGGGCTGGAGATACCACCGTCCTTGTAACCCTCCAACCACACCGTGGTTCGCAAGAAAACGGGAATTTTTATAACAAGGTTATTGCTTCGAAGTGATCGGACAGTGGATACCAATGAATACTACCAGAATAAAATAACCAGCAACTAGGAACAGTAACACTTTGCAAGAAACGGAACACTAAATCACACGCCCCCATCCTCATGCATGCGTGCATGGAACCTGGATCAGCAAAGGTCTCAGGCAAGCCCAAATAGCTACAGTAGCTATAGCAAACTACAGTATCATTTGTGCTAAGAATCTCTCCACCACACCGGCCCCAGGAGAGGCTCTGGCTGCATGGGGCCTGCCTGCCTAGACATGCTCGACATTGGTAGCCATGTCAACCTTCTCGACGCTGATCTCTTTGGTCTCGCCGCTGGCACAAGCCACGATGTTCTCCGTCGTTGCTGGCCGGACGGCAGCTGGTGTGTTGAGCTCCATGGCAGCTGCCGGGCCGAGCTTAGCGACGTTGATGACGTGCTCTGGCATGGGTGCATCCACCTCCTTTGGCGCCGGCCTGGGCGTGGCGTTGCAGTAGAGAGCGTAGAGCCCCATCTGGATCACCCCGAAGGCAAACCCGAGGATGTTGGGAAGCTGCATGTTCAACACCAACACTAAAGTCAAATAGAAAGTTTGAGATTGGAATTGAGAGATAATTTGTGTTGTTCACGTACGGCAACATATTTGTCCTTGATGAGGAGGCCGTAGAGGAACCAGACGACGGCGCTGACGGTGAGAGAGAGGGAGAGTGAAAAAGGCATGAACTCGACGCTCCGGGTGCGCACCACAAGACGCTGCACAAATAGATCGATTATAATCAATCAATCATGCATGGTGGATCACCACAAACTAATATGTGTGAGAGAGGCCAGGCAGGTGCTCACGATGACGCTGAGGGGCGCGACGAAGACGCTGACGGAGAAGCCGACGCAGACCCACCCAAGCATGATTACGCGCTTTTCGCCCCCCGCTAGCAGCAGCGTGAGAAGTAGGATGAGGCCGAACACACCCACGTTCAGGAGGAGGAGGATCTTCGCCGTGAAGAGCTGCATGTCACGCATTTTGTGTCAGCACAAACCAGTTCACTCAAAATGCCCAAACTGATGAAGAAGGGTGGACACATGCATGCATGTGTGCAGCTGAGTTGTGAGTACCTTGGCTTGCTTTGGCGCGTAAGCGAGGTACATGACGATGTAGATGGTTTCGATGACGCAGCCGGCAGAGTTTATGGTGATGAGCAGGAGCTCGTCGGACTTGAGGAGCGCGTAGTAGATCCACAGCATCGCGCTGAAGAGCGCCACCACGTACGGGACCGACTGGAACCCCTGCGTCGACTTGCTCCTGTAGATCCGGTAGAACGTCGGCCTGCATCCCATGCCCCCATGCACCATTAGTTTCTCGTGAAACTAAGCTAGAGAGAGAAACGATGTTGAGCGCGATCGAGAGGCTTACAGTGGGGCCAGGTAGGTCATGAAGGAGATGACGTTGCCTGCATGGAAGCAGTACGATGACAGTTAGGCAGCGAGAACAAGGAGACACGTGTACGTATTACAAGTACAATTAATCCCCACTTAGCGAGCTTTCAGTAACTTGTGTGCGTGACACAACACCATGCTTATTATACATCTTGCTTTAGTTAGTTTATTATACATCTTGCTTTCCCTTTTCTCCCCTTTTGTTTGCCACCTCCAACGACCAATGAACTATTCTAGATATACTAGTTTACTCAAAAGAGGAAGGATCCCAGGTATCCCATGGTGCAATCCGCACTACCTAGCTATATAGTGTAATTGTTGTCTTGGATACACAACATACTTCCCCAAGTAGGGGACGCCTAAGAGTATTAGTTTTGCCAAAACATATTGTGAAATCAGAATGAAAAGACAATGAAAAGGAAATAATAAGAACTCTTAAAAGATACTCAACTATTCAGGTGGACAGCAGTATACCTAGGAGGCCAAAGGCAAAGGCCCACGGGTGCTCAAGGGAGAGACCACCCATTGCAAAATCTTAATTAGCTCTGGAGTTGGTGAGGATATCAGAATGTGATTGTTCTACCAAGCTAGCTTGGGTAATAGCTAAGCTTCAACTTCTACCTCCCTTGAGGTTGGATGGGTTTATATAGCCCTCACAAGGAAGACAAAATAGATGGTTCAATGGGAAGAGAAGAAGTGTCAGCTTACTACTCGAGGTAGTTGCTTGAGAGCATGAAGGGAGCTGGAGCTGGGATGGGTTTATATAGTGCTAACATGGAAGCCAAAAAGGTGTGCATCCTTATGGTGTGTGACTCCATTGGCACACACAAACTATTCCTCATCAATCACAGCCATGGTAGCGCCTTAAACAAAGGACAGGATAATCATCAACATCCATGACACAAAGTGCCTATCTTCTCGGTAGACTCTTTTTCTCCCAATTCCTGGCATGGATATATTAGGGAAAATTTTGTACACTTCAAGTTATCCGGTAACACCAGCTTAGCCACACCGGCAACGCTGGAGAGCTATAGCAACCGCTGAGCCACAAAAGGTTAACAACTCCCTCTCCCCCCATTGGTCATGCGTCCAATTAAGAGGCTCAAACCAGTGTCGAAATATAGCTCCTGTAAATTTCAGATGTTACGACCCAGAATGAAAATTCCTCTTGTAACCATATTTTCCACTGATTCATCGATCCCCCTCCGCACTGATGAGTCCTCAGGTCTCATCCTCTCCCGTTTGCCGCTTCGGCGACAGAGGGGGCGGGGACCACGGATTTGCGATGTGGTGATATAGTTAGGTATCCTAATAGTAGTGCTACGATCCTCCCAACGGTGGCGCAGCGGTGGCAATTTCGGCGTTGTGCCTATTAAGAACAAGGTTTCCTCTACTCCTGGTCCACCTCATCGGTGAGTCTCTCGCCAGTAGCATTGAGAGGGATGGGGGTCGCCTAGATCGGTGGATCTGGTTTTGTCTTCCTGTCATGCATTCGGTCTTCGAAGGTGTCTTTCGGCAGAATGGCCGACGTCCCTTGGTGACTTGATTCTATGACTCAGTCTCCTATTTCACCAACTTCAGTGTCGTCTGTGATCTTGTCAGTGCATTTCCCCCAACATATGTCTGGCCAAATTTGGGGTGGTCGTCCAACCCTCTTCACTGCCTTCTTCTTCTCGGACACTATTCTATTTGCCAGATCATCGTCATTGTCATATTCTCACTCCAATCAGCTCCCTCCCAGGTGCTGCATGAACAATATTTCTCTTGCTCGGATGGTGTTTCGGGGGTCCAAAGGTGGCATCGATCTTCGCTGCTACTGTCATCGATTGCATGATGAATTCATTTTTGATTTCCCCAAGGACCAGTGTTTTTTTTTGTAAGAATGGCCTTTTAAGGGATGGTTAACTTTAATATATAGCATTTGGTCTACCACAAAACATCATCAGATGAGAAGTTTATTTTTAGGAATTACCATGTATAACTTGCAGACATCAGTTGAATTAATGCCAGATCATGGTAACATTCACCAACAACTACACCACAGGTTATCAGTCACACACGTGAAACATGTATGTCACGTTGGGAGTTATCAAGCGATTATTTGCACGGTTGCATACTTGAATGCCGTGCCAGTCACAATGCAGTTTTTTAGGGCAGCTGAAACAACACGTATGTCTCCACACAAAAAAACACGTATGTATGAGCTGTATACGGTTTTTTTGCGGCTGTGAGCTGTATACGTTAGTATTACCCCCTATGCTTTCTTCCATGATCGTTGTTGGAAGGCTTCGGCGACACACATAAACAAGCAGCTCAGTTACTCCTGATTTACTGATACATAGTTTCCTACCGTAATGGATAAAAGCAAATTAGGAAGATATTTAACGTAATGCAGTACGTAAGGCTGAGGCTCCACGGTAGCAGAAAAACTTCGACGCTTTTTGACCATGGGTTGATTGATTGCATAGAAATCTTTTTCCTCATGATCATGAGTGAGTAAAGAAAACATCCATTGGAACTTGAGAGGAACAAAGAACGGCTCGCTAGGTTTTGCTGTTCCTTTTGGGAAAAGGTGTCTGATCTCTGTTGTTGGTGTTCTTGTACCATCTGGTCAGAAACACGGCCATATGCACATTATTTCCCACATCTACGGCGTACTTTCCATTGTCCATGGTTTTGCAGATTGTGTATGCAATAGAAATAGATAGCCGCCGGGCTCACGCCATTAGCGTACACTTACTCAGGGGTTTACTAGTGCACTGTGAGGTTTGCGTGCATCTACAAATTGGTCCTAGTATTCATCGGTTTTGCATGCTTTGCCGGCTGTATTATAGCCCTTCATACGTACTAGCTGATGCCATTTCACACTGCACATGGTTGCTAAAAGGTGACGTGGCAAAGCCAAACCAATTTATTTTCCACGGTTCATCAGTGGCTGACTGCAGAAGCAACCTAGAGATTTCTTGCAACTCGAAGATGCACTTTGGAGCCTTCCGAACCACTAACTAATTAGTCCTTCAATTAACCTATTCTGACTGTCAGGAAGCAACGGATGGTCGTTCGCAAAAAGGGAAAGGAATAGGAACCAGTGGATGGTCGAGCAGTAGTAGCTTTCTCATGTACAGCAACTATATAGCTAAAAAAAATGCCCATTTCAGCTGAGTAACTTAGATCAATTAAACCAATGTCCCGTCTCAGCAAAGCAGAATTATTTCAGGTCAAGAAATGAAGAAGATCCTGGACGGGCGAATATTCTCGGTAGAGATATTTGTGGTAGTACACGTGGGCCTGAGATGAAAAAGGCTGTTCTACAATGATCCTACCTATACACTTCAGCGGAAGGGATTCCAACATGTGACATTATGAAGTCACTCTCAGAGGTTAATGCTTTAAAAAATATACAAAAACTTCAGTGGCTGCCTGCAAAGATTCACTAAAGGATCGGTGTCATGGCCTCATAATGCCAATAATTAAGATATTAACAAAAGGTAGTGCAAGATATTTCAATATAATTAAACGGTGCTCCAAGCATACTGAATTGTCCATTGGCATGTTCAGACATATCAGAGATTGTGAGAAAGCAACGTAAATATGATCGCATATAGGAATGTGCATAAGCTGATCTAAAACAGTATTGGAAGAAATCTCCAAAAGCATCCGCGCCACACAAGTATCTGCAAAAGCTTATCTCGGTAAATA